TAAAGTCAGTTCTTTCCAAGGACACCTTTCTCAGCTTTCCTTATTTCTTGTTCTGCTTAGGGACTCCTAAATCACACACTGGCAGCCACTTTTCTTGCATGGATGACTGTTAACTCACTGTTGCTCACACCAAATGCAGGTTGCTTGGCTGACCTGCAAGACCCATCAATAACCAACCATGCATTATTGTAACTCGAAAACCACAAGCTTCCCAATGAAAACCAGCTGAGTGAAATAGCCAGTTCTGATGAGAGAAAATAATTTTGAAACACATATCTGCTGAATCTATTGTTTCTTGAATTACAAACATGCAAGGGTCTGTTGTAGACTGCTCTTTAGGAGTGCTCTTGGCTTTCTCAATGGCACTGCATTCTTACACTGCAACACTGTCTAGAAATTCCAGTTTTGTGAGAAAATGAGTTGCTTCTGCTGGCCAACAATCAAACCTTACTTATTCACAGGTTGTCATTCCTCAGCTGATTTCAGCAGTACTGTAAATACGGATAATATGTCTTCCCTGTTTAGGGAGTTTTGAGAAGTACATCATGCTGCAGCACATCTTAGAAACACAAGTTGTTTGTAGTTATATCAAACCAATCTCTCTGGCTTTCCATAGAATTTAAATTAAATTCAATATCTCAGTCTTATCTTCAGAGAACGTAATTTCCAGGACAACTACAGCCGCAAGATAATAACTGTTGTTGACAAGAACACTCCTGGCTATGGAGGCAAGGTGCTTTTTTCAGGAGACAACTCACAGAGACCTGATTCCAAACAGCAGAATGAAGTTTTCCAAAGAGACAACAGAGTTCACCCATCAGCCTATCCCAGCTACAAAGCAGACTCGTTTTACCTTGCCCCCTTCGATCCAAATGTCTGTTTTCAAGAGTACCCATTTGTTTCTCAGTAATTAACCCCCCCCCCCACTATGAAAACAAAATGTTTCACATGCTCTTGCTTCTCTTGTGGAGGGATACAAGTATGAACAACAAGTATAAACAACATGTAATGTGTTCTAGGAGAGCAGAAACTTCCTTGGTAACACCCTTTCACTTTGTAATACATAAGGGATTACCTCATGTATTTAATGTTAAATGTAGGCAGTGTTTAAGAAGAGATTCCTGATGCAAATAAGGAGCTATGAAACTATGCCAGAAACAATAATTTCTCATAGTGAAATCAAGTTAAATGTGCTTTAAGGACCATGTAAGTATTTGGAAATATATTTCCAACACTGCCATCCTTTTTCTTCTCCCCATATTAAATGGAATTTACATGCCAGCCTCTCACCAGCACCAAGCTTTTGCCTGCTTCAGATGTGTTCCCTACATGTCTGTATACTTCCGTTAATAACTCACACACATTCAAAAGTTGTTAAAATTTGACACATTGCAGAGCTTTTGACTCTCTTGACTCTTAAGCCAGTTACACTAAATGCCTAAATTGTTTTGGACATCATAAGTCCCAGAAAGACTTGACAGACCTGCTGTAGTTGACAGACAGTGCAGAGATGGTCTCCTGATTTGTGCAGCATAATCTACAGGCAGTGCATGCTGGAATAGATAGTTTGCCTGATGGAGTATGGGTGTAATCACCTGTAATCACCTTCCCTTTTTTTTTTTAATTGTCTCAGGAAAGCTGGTAAAAGCTAATACCAGTTGTTGCACTTTTTGGGAAGTAACAGACAGAATTCAAATTCAAGCACAGGAAAGTTTTGTTCATAACAGTAATTGCATTGCAGGTTCTTCATGTCCAGTAAAAGCACTATTAATATTACATTCTGAAAAGTTGCAGGACCAATTTATGCCCTGCATAAAGCAATCTCAAAGGACCACACTGTTTTATTACTGTTAGTGAATTTTGCTCATGTCTGTTTTCCAATTTGCAGAAACAATTTGCAAAAATAAAGGCACAGCACAGCAGTGATTGTGACTGACTTGAGTTTATTGGTTGTGTAGCGAATATAAAACAACTCATCTGGGGTGTTCTCATGGGATCATTTTAGAACTATCATCCTTGGTCAGCTTGAAACAGAAGAATTTTCAAGTGGTACAGTGAATTTTTTCATAAGACTTATCTCTGTAATCTCCTTTTCTCCTAGTATTTGATGAGCATTGTTGATGGGGCTGTACAATAGTGTTCTTGTGACTTGCAGCTGTGTTTTTCAAATGAATATTTGTCTTGGATTCTCCGTGAAATCTCTCAGCAGCTTTTATTGATGTTTCTTGTAAACGTTAAACACTACATCAATTCTTTGACTTTCTGCACCATCATGCACTGCTGATAACCAGGTACTTGTTAACTTTGTTTATTCTTTGGATCACACTCATTCCATCAGTGACAGATGGCCTGCTGGTTCCAGTACGATTTGCATTCCACACAGCCCCTCTACCAAAGTTGCCTGCTTTCTTCTTCAGAGTGATCTATCCAATGTTGTCAGTGGGTAATGAATAAGACACACTGAGTATGCCTGCTTGGAACAACACTTCTTTTTAAAAAAATTTGTTGTTGTTACATCCTTATCTGTTTACAATATAACTATTTAGAGATCCTTGCTGTTCCTGCCCTTCTTTGGTGACTGAAAATATTCTTTCTTTCTGGAAGTCCATTAAATGAAATTTATTTATGAAACAATCACTTTTAAGATTATTTAAAAGATTGCAGGGCTGCTTACCTTCTTTAGGTGCTTTTAGGAGGTCATCAATACCATCTGGCAAGACTGGCTGATAAGCTGACAAGATCTATTGGTCATTATTGATTGGCTTTATCTTAAGAATTTCAAGCAAGTCTTCAATATCTGGCCTTTTAGAAGTCTAATTATCTGTACTTGTTCAGATATTCACTTAGATACGTACTCTATTCTGGAGCTCTTTGGCTGTTGCATGTCTCTTAGCTATCTTTTACTAATATTTTGATGGTCAGCAGCAAGACAGTATTCAGCTACAAACAAAATCCCTTTGAACTAAATTGACCTGAAACTAAATCCCTTTAACCCCCTGCAGTCTGGAAGACTGAGTAGACTTCTTCAGCTGAGCTCATCTAATAGAAAGAAGGGAGGTCTTGCTGTCCATTCCCTTAAGCAGTCAGTGTTTTTTGTTTAACCGTATTCCTTTCACATTTGCAGGGAGTTTAATTGTCTATCCATTTACCTTTCAAAAATGGCTCCTCACGAGGTCAGGAGACCACTGTGGCTGGTACAGGAAGGAGAAGCTGCAGATGGTCATAGACCAGAAAAAAGAGAGTAGGACAATGCCTTTGGTAGCAGTCACATTAGAGGCACATAGCTACAGCAAGAAACTATACCTTGAAAGTGTGCTTTTTATTGTTAACATAAGATGTTCTAATTCTGTGCTGTTTGTCTTCCCCTAGTCGTGCATTCCCAACTCCTTCCTTATTTTGGCTCCAGCAGTTCTGTGGTGAGTTGAATCAACCTGGTTGCTGATCAACACTTTGCTTACCTCAGAACTCATAATTTCTGTGTGTGTGTTAATTTTCAGGTGAATCTGACTCATCCATTGGTTGCATGATTACTAGAACTGATGCAAGGCAGGTAATGGAAATACCTGTAGAGGAGGGGCCAAAATCTTTTTTTACAGCTGGAGATCAGTCTTAGATCAGTTTGAGTCAGTCATGAGGCTATAGTCAGTCAAACTCTTAAACCTGAAACTGCTGTCAGAGGAAACAGTCCCGCCTCCCTGCCCAGTGAATACAATCCTTCCCAGCCCTGTGCCACCTCCATCTGATATTGATCTGATTCACCATGCAACACAGCTGGCTGTATGGCTGCAGGATGATCAGAACAATGAGGTGAGTGATCCCATAACCAGTTTTTCAGGTTCACACCTCAGGCCAACTCCCAGGCCTGGCTCTGCCTGCAGCAGGTTGGAGGCTGGTGCAGAGCTGGAGGGATGGAGGTACCATCTCCATCTCCATCAAGTCTGAGCTTGGCATGAAGTGTCACAGTACAGCTGCACACCTGGATTTGCTGTCCCTAAACTGACAGACTCTCACAGCAGGAATCTCACTAGGCTTCCAGGCACTGGCAAGTACCCTGTGGGCAAAGCTGGCCAGGGCCATGGGAAACGAGCCAATGGAGGGTTGTGATGCCTCACTGTGATGTGAGTGGGGACTCTCACCTGGGAGCCATTGCCCCAAAACCAGTGCTGCACATGGACACATCCTGGCTCTGATCTGGCACCTCCAGCAGCGGGGACCACCTCACCCCATGCTATGCTGGCACAGATGCCCATATCCTTAGGTGGCAGGTCCCTGTGGGCACACAAAGCCCATGCTCTTGACTTCCTCCTCCCCCTCTCCTCCATCCCCCAGCACAGCTGCCCCATGGAGCCACCGTGTTGGGTGACTCTGTTGAGGCCACATCTGCAGTGCTGTGTCCAGTTCTGGGCTCTGCAGCACGAGAGAGACGTGGAGCTCCTCGACTGGGTCGAGTGGAGAACTACAAAAATGATTAAAGGACTGGAGCATCTCTGTTATGAGGAAAGGCTGAGGGAGCTGGACCTCAACCTTGAGAAAAGCTGACTGAGAGGGGACCTCCTCAATGTGTATAAATATCGAAAGGAGAGGTGTCAGAGACTCTTCTCGGTGGTGCCAAGGGCAGAAACTGGTGCACAGAAGTTCCACCCGAACTTCTTTACTGTGCAGTGACCACACTCTGGAACAGGTTGCCCAGAGAAGGTGTGGAGTCCCGCTCACTGGAGCCATTCGGGAGCGCTCTGGATGCAGTGCTGCGCTCGGGGATGACCCTGATGGAGCAGGGGGGGCTGAACTCCCTGCCCGACCCCCTCGGGCACTCCGTGACTCCCGCCCTAGGCCCCGCCCCCGGCCCGCAAACCACGCCCCTCTCCACGCCCCCCCGGCTCGCGGGCTCGGCGCGCGCGCAGTCGCGCGGTAAACAGGCCCCGCCGGCCCCGCCCCCTCGTGTCGCCCCCGCGCGCAGGGGCCGCGCGCGCGTCGGCGGCTGCGCAGTGTCGGTACATCCGGGCACTGGGGCAGGATGAGCGCTCCTTTCCAAGATGGCGGCGGAGGGAGGTGGGAAGGAGATGAACGAGATTAAGACCCAGTTCACCACCCGGGAGGGGCTGTACAAGCTGCTGAGCCACTCGGAGTACAGCCGGCCTAACCGCGTGCCCTTCAACTCGCAGGGCTCCAACCCCGTCCGCGTCTCCTTCGTCAACGTCAACGACCAGAGCGGCAACGGGGACCGGCTCTGCTTCAATGTGGGCCGGGAGCTCTACTTCTATATCTACAAGGGGGTCCGCAAGGTACCGGGGCTCCCCTGCCGGGATGGGGCGGGGAGTGGTGGGGGCTCCGCGCCGCCCGCTCGCCGGGGTGCGGGAGCCCCAGGGCCGCGGGGCCGCGCCGGGGGCGGGGGACAGAGACCGGGCCGCCCCTCCCTCGCTGTCCCCCTCCCCGCGGCCGACGCCTCCTCGGCTCCAGCCGATGTCCCAATTAAGCAGGTAGCGGCTGGGGATGGGTACAGCAGGCCTGGGCCGAGGGCGGTGTGAGGGCATCGGCGCTGGGTCGGTGCTCGGGGCTGTTCCAGGTACGGTGTCACCGACGGGAGTTGTGTGGGCCCCGTACAGGGATGCGATCGCTTGGGCCCTCCTTGTCGTGTGGGAATGAGGGTTGGCTTTCCCTGCCTGGGCCTCCTTCGCCTACTGCTTCAGGTCAGAATTTGCTGGACACACTAATGCCTGTTGTGATTATGGTGGTGTCAAATCCCTGCTTCCAGGATCTTCCTGGCTTTGGCTGCATAGCTAAAGCGTGCAGTGCAGTTTTAGGCCTTTGTTATGACTTAGAAGTGTGGGCTGATTTTAGAATTGTTTCTAAATGGGAGCGGTGCAATGAGATGAGTCTTAAATATCAGATAATTGACAGAGAGAAAGTTGCTTTTGCAGGAAAGAAAGATTGATGTACTTGAGAGAGAGACTCCTTGCTTGTCATTATTGGATACAGGACAGTGCATGCATTTGATCTCTCAGGTCACCATATTTATGAACAAATCCATGATTTTACGGGATTCAGAGAATAATTTGGAATTTGCCATGCTAGGTGAACGCGTGTCACTCCTAATAGATGTAAACACAGATGATATAGTGAATGTCAGCTTTCTGTTTTGTTCTGAATAGTGTGCGTTCATTATTTTTCCTGCTTGGGTCTCAGCTGCCATCATGTGAGTATCTTGAAATCTTCCTGCTCTTAGCCCACCATTCACCATGGGATGAGGGCACAGAGAGCTAGAGGCTCACACGAGGCTGTGCAGGAAGCTCGTGGATGAGCAAGGAATTATACCTGAATCTGCTGTGTCCTAGGGTAGTGCCCCTAGCACTCCTACTTTATATAAAATGTCAGCACCAGCAGGAGTTTAAAGTCTACATGGTTGTTTGTTTGTTGACTGTGACCTAACAGATCTGATATGCCTTGTATAATTGTATGCAAAAGTGTGTCTGTGTGTGTATTTTAATTTCACCCTTCAATGAATTTTAATAATCTAGGTACGTTTCAAATAATGCTTGGACAATGCCTTCTTTAAGCATGCACGAAGTATTTAGTATCAAACAGTATTCTCTATTTACAAGCAGTTTCTATCTTTACAAGGTATCCTGAGGAGCAGTATCTCTGAAAATCTATATCCTAAACTGCTGCTGTGTTTGGGTCCTGCTGTGTTTGTTTTTTCCATGCAAAGTAGCTGCAGAGTTCTCTCACTTAGCTCACAGAGCAGGCCTTTATGTAGTTTAGTAATGGTACATGTGATTCTTGCAAGTTGTCTTAGTCATCTATTGCCACATTTCTGAAAAATAAAAATCTAAAGCCTGGGACTTCGTTGACAATAAGGAATGCAATAACTATATCAAATTACAAAAATCTTCTTGAGCTGGGTATTTGATTATGTTTTTAGATGCTAACAGCTACTGGTGTGATATACAGGAACTCAGAAATATGAGTTTGTGAACTCATGAGCTCTGAGGCATTTATACCTGTGACAGTGTGAAATACCTTTTTCTCTCCATAGAGTAAAACATAAACATTGTTAGGACAGAATTAATCTCAATGACCTTTTGTAGTATTAACTATCTAAAATAATACTGTATATTCTATAGGTATAATACTTTAGTAAGATGAACCTAAAGAAAGAGCTGAAATAAATTGACTCTAAGGAAATCACTTTAAATGAGAATGGGAGGATGGTCTGGCTTAAATCTGCAGTATTTGCTGCCTTGGAATTTATTTTGGGACTTCAGTTGGAAGTAACTGTTTTGTCTATGTATGAATGTGAAACAGGAACAAGCTGACAGCCTGTCAACTGATCATGTGAACTTTTCAGAATCAAAAGTTCTGTCTTGTGCCTATCATAAAGGGGAGAGAGCTATTGTTACCTAAATGGACAGGATGTAATTCTGCCTTAAACTGGGCAGACTATCACATTCTCTGTTCCTTCCTGTTCCTGGGAGCAGGATGGGCAGAGGGATTTGATCTGTTTAAGGCCAATCTATTTGTGCTCCTTGGCATAATATAGGTGCTGATAAGTTCAGTTTTATCTGTTAGTTCATAATTATTTACGTATCCCTTAAAAAATGTCTCTGATTACTTTAAGATCATGATTTTCATTCTGGCTAAGTCATATTAGAGTATTGAGTTGAATTTAATGAAGCTGTGCTGTGTGAATATATCAGCTAACTGTGATTTTGTGTTTTTGGTTTTTTTTTAACTTTTTTATTTTAAAGACTTTTTAAGACTTCTTTTCTTGATGGGAAAATGCTATATTTTTCCTAAAATGAGCAAAAGAACCACCAGAACTGTATTTTAAGTGACTGTGTCTGTTAGGTACTGAGATAATTCTTGCATCAGTAATCCGTTGCAGATCAGTACACATTAAGGAAGAGTAACACTTAAGCCATGAATGACACTTAAGAACAAATAACCTAATATTGAGTCAAAGATACCACATGGAAAGATACTTTTTCACATCAATAGTGCTAATGTCTCTTCTTCTAGTTTCCCTTAAATCCTAAATGCTTTGTGTCTGCTCTGTCTGGTTTGTAAGTCACCTTTTTAAATGAGCTGCTGATGTGTGTGTTGTCTTAGGAGATTTAACTTAAATAAAGAAAAATGTTTCCAGGTAACCTTGATCCTTCTTCCAAGGCACTTGGTGAAGTTAGATCTGGCATCCAGGACAGTGGTGTGGAGATTGTCTCTCTACCAAACCATTAGGATTGGAGTGCAAATAGACAAAGAGTTTTGGACAGCATTTCAAGCTGTCTCTAGAGACTTTTCAAAGCAAAAAGGTATTTTCTCCCAGTTTTGTTCTGGTTCTTTGTTCTGGTTGAGCTAGTTCAGCTTGCTAAACCAGCAGCAAAAAGTACTTGTAGTGTTTCTGTGCAGATATCCTCTTGATTTGGTGAGTTGTCATCTTGGGGTTGATTGGTACACTCTACTTTGAGTACAGTGACAGCAAGGAGAGGGTTGGAAGGGCACTAACCCCTTCAGTGGCTTGGACTATCTGCTTGGATCCACTGCCTTAGGAGGTCTGTGCTGAGTAAAGCCTCTGCTTCAGCCTTAAGTCAGTTTTGGAATGATGAGGGATTGTTGACTTGACTTTAAGAGAGTTATAGGTGTTAAAGGAAGCTTTTCCTGTTATTTTAGGCATTTCCCTCTTTGTGGAGTGAGATTATAGCATAATAATTCAAAAATTGTTCAAATTATGATGCTCTGATGCTCTTGGTGGGTTCCTTTTTCCTGCAGCCCTTAATCAGGAGTGAGGACTGTTACTTGACTTTTGTTTATGAGATAGTCTTGAAGGACTTAAATATGGTTTGTGGCTAGCTTTGCAAAATGATTTATTAGTTGATTCGTTAGGCTGGAAAAGGAGAGTGCTATATCATCTTCCTTGCCTTAGGAATGACTGACAGGGCAAGGCTTTCCAGGTTGCTGCTGAGATTAACTATCAAGGCCTTTTCCCTTCCTACTAGGAAGCTTGTGTGTTTTCCTTATAGAAGTTTTGTGTGTGCTGATGTGTTATTCTCTATATGTTGTAAAAGTCTGCAGCTGTTATTGCAATACAAGTACATATTAGCAATGGCGTTGCATGAGGCACAGTCCTAATATTTATGTAATATATCGGCAAGTTATGAAATTTGAATGCATAATTTAGCTTATTGCATGACATAAAACCTTTTGCATTGTAATTAAATTCTGACTGTCTACTCTTTGGTAATGTGTGGCAGACTTTCTTAACATTGGTTGTTTCATTTTTTCAGATCACCTTCTTGTGAGAAGAGGCTTAGCCTTTAGTTTGACTTTTTATCTTGCAGATACCTAAAGCAGCATTCTGTTAATAACTATGGAATATTGCAGTATGTTGCAGTAGTGTTGGATTAGAAACATACATAGGTAATAAGCACAAGTTGATGGAGGCATGGAGGGCAGAATTTATTGACTGTCTTTTTAAGCTTTTGTTGAGCAAGTGTCTTGGAAATTATATTTGTACTAGGATGAAAATAATCTCATATGTCAACTTCTTTTATTGAGAGTTGGCGTACTGGTAGTCCCTGCTTATCAGTAAAAAGACTGATGTATAGGATTCCTTCCTTTGCAGTTCTCAAAATTACTTTTTTTATGTATGGCTTGATTTGTTGTGCAGTTGAGGAGTGTTATCCTTGGTGGTGACTTTCATTCTATAGACTGTTCACCTGGGAACTTGTTGCAATGACAGAATGAAAATGGGTGACATTTGTCACTGTACTTAATATATTGCTCTGAGAAGCGCAGTGTGAGGCAGTTCTAGGTTGGAAGCTGGGATGTGTGGAGAAAACCATCAAGTTTTCTCAAGATGTGGTGGGAATGTGAATTTATTTTACTGTATACTTAGAGATCACTAAGCTGTGTCAGGCCTCTGAAAACGAGGTACATTTTAAAAGCATATATGAACTATAAAAATGCTGAGGTTTATAAGGATCTTGGCAAGTACAGTAGCTCTGAAGCAGAGGGAAATATACTTACATCTTAGTGACCAGTTCTTACAATTGCAGTAATGAGCATTCCACAGTTTCCTTCCTTTCCTTTCCTTTTTTTGGTGTTAGTTCTCTTTCTTCTTCCTCCAATATCTGACTAAACTTCTCATTCAGGGAAAAAAGAGAAAGCAAACGAGGCTGAATGCAGTTATTTAGTGTGGACATAGAGGACAGTTCACTATTGCCTTTGGCTTTTGCCTATTTTAAAACTTGTTAATTTATCCACTCAGTTTTCCTAAGGTAAATAAATC